ACTTGTGAATGATGTTGTTGGAGATGATAGGGGTAGTGCATAAGTAGAAAGGAAAGGAAACAAGAATATGAAGGATGAATTACAGAAGTAAAAATAAAGATAAAAATAACAAGCGATAACTTTACATGTATGGACGACCATAGTCAATAGTTAAATATGAGCCGCAATAAAAAATAATGACCGGAGTCATGGTAGGCGTAGCTAAAGCAAAGTGTGTAACGCTGGATCACTGTGGCTGGGGCCGAAGTAAAAGGTGTGACACTGGGTCACTGTGGCCGGAGCCGAAGTAAAAATGGGTGACACTAGGTCACTGTGGCCGGAGCCGAAGTAAAAGGTGACACTGAGTCACTGTGGCCGGAGCCGAAGTAAAAGGTGTGACACTGAGTCACTGTGGCCAGAGCCGAAGTAAAACATGTGACACTGGGTCACTGTGGCCGGAGCCGAAGTAAGGTGTGACTGAGTCACTGTGGCCGGAGCCGAAGTAAAACATGTGACACTGGGTGACTGTGGCCGGAGCCGAAGTAAAACACTTTGTGCGAAATTTAAAATGGAGAAAAGGGAGCAAGAGTGTTGAAATGGGCTTAAGTGGGCCCGTCTGAGAAGTCTGACAACGAGGCGGTATGCGACGCGACAGCTGTTCTCTGAATGACGTGCGTAATAAATGCCGCTGTAAAAAGAGAATTGTAACAGCCCAACGGGCAGATGTAAAAAACGAACCGTCGAATTCAAAACGGTACCGTTTGGGGTTAACCGTCGAATTCGAAACGGTGTCTCTGCAGTTGTTAGATGGGATTAATCATAGCTGTTGAGGCGCAGTTTGCCTTTGGTATAAAAGGCTAGACTTCTGTAAAGAGGGATTTTTACTTTCGCGATTTTGCTTCCAAATTCTTGCCAAATTTCTGCGGTTCGTGCTAAATTTATGTGGTTTCGTGCGGTTTGCGCTGTATTTGAGGCTTCAACAACAGTTTCCTAAGACCAAAATCAGGTAATGTTTATGAATTTTTTATTTTGGTTCGGAATTTTTTATTTTGATTATGTCGAAGTGCTGTTCTCCTTTCTCCCCTTCTGTGGTTGATTTTGGGTTTTTTTGAAGGAAATTAGGGTTGGGGGTGAGAATGTATTGAGTGTGTTAGCATTTTTAAGGGTCCTGACTCTGTTCCTCCTCCTATTTTGTGCAGAAATTGAGGAGATGTCTTTAGAAGGGACCGTGAGTGTAGTGGGGAGTGAGGTGATGCCCCTAGATTATGGGAGCATGGATGCGGAGAGCAGTCCGTCTCCATCTGGTTCGGAGAGGACAGTGGAGGAGAGGAGGGATCAAAGGGTAGTAGAGGAGGAGGAAGATGAGATCCCCTCCAACATTTTGGAGGCGAGGAGTGGTGTGGATGGGTGCTATGACCCAGAGTTAGAGATAGTATCTGAGGTGAGGGGGTATGTGAGCGAACTAGGTAGCAGGGAGAGTCTTAGGGGCCTCGTGGGTAACTGTAACCTCCCTCACCATATCCTAATTAGGCCTGCCGGGTTGAATGAGAGGGCATGCTCAGCACCCCGAGACCATTGGATGCCCCTATATGTCCACTATCTGATTGCGGGGCTTAGGTTTCCCATTCCCGAATTATTGGTTGGGTTATTATTAGATTATAGTATAGGAATAACCCAACTAACCCCAAATGCCGTAAGGGTAATAATAGGTTTTCTTGTATACTACCGAGTTCGGGGGGTTGGGGTCCCTACAGTTAATATGTTCAAACACTTTTTCATAATAAAGGCCGAGGGAAAGGGGGAGAAGGGGTGGTACTACTTTGGTCCTCGGTCGTCCAGCAAAGATAATAGGAGTTTATTCTCTGCTGGACCGTCATCCATCAAAGGATGGAAAAAAAAATTCTTCTTTGTGGATGACACCGAGTGGAGTAGGAGGGATGCCGAAGTGGAACAGTTGTCTGCTTGGAAAGCCAAGAAAACCAAGCAGAACAACTATAAGTTAAATGAGGATGAGATGGAGGAGGTAGGAAAGCTGGTGAGGGAAGAAGGAGACGTAGTAGATATCCTGTACCTCACCAGCCCGAAGGCAATAGAGGCTGCTGAGCTTTATGGGCCAAGCTCATTGAGTGAAGGTTTGTTTGTGTTTTTGCTTTTTTGCAACTGACTTGAATTTTCAGCCATTGTGTTTTAACACTTGTTGTTGCTCTGCAGCTGAGATGGACGAATTTGTCACTACTACTGGAGGGTTGGTTATCCCCAAGAAGCTTAGGAAGAAGTCAAGGACTTCGAATGTGGCGGACAAAGGGGCAGCGGAGAAAGAGCACCGGCCTAGCACTTCTGCTCGAGTGTTGGAGATACAGCAGAGGTCGGAGCCTGCCAGGGGGGATAGTGAGGAGGTGAGTGAGGAGGTGGCACCACTCCAAAGAAAGAAGAGGAAAGTGGCTGAACCAGAGGTGAGGGGGGATGAGGTGATTGAGTTCGTGCCTCGCCCTTCTCCTCCTGAAATTGATCCTGAAATCAAGGAGAGGGAGGAGGTCGAGGTGCGAGGTCTTGGTAAAGGCAAGGAGCTCATCCCTCTTCATTCGTACCAGAAGAGTTTGTTCGAGGAAATGAACACTACTGGAGCGAAGCGGTTCCTCGATGCAACGCTGCCTGAAGTGGATAGGAGGCAGGCGAAGCAAGAGGCGGTGAGCCATCTGGGTGCTCGCGTTGTAAAGCACACCTTGGAGGTATGTAAAGAAGTTATTGTTTATTTATGTGTTACTTTTGGGTTTATGACTTCTGCATTAGAGTTCTAACTGCTGTTGGTATTCCAGAGTGCGAGCTGGGTCAACGCTCTTGCGCAGGAGTATGCGGAGAGCGTGAAAGATTGCGCCAGCTGGTAGAGGCAATGTGAGGCCCTACGAAAGGAGAAGAAGGAGCTGCAGAAGGAAAAAGAGGAGCTGCAGAAGAAAAACAAGCAGATGCAAAGGAGGCTGGACGAAGTGGTGCCAACAGTGACCGAGCTCCAGAGTGATAGAGAATCTTTGAGTACCAGGCTTGTCTTCGAAGAGCGTAAAAGGAAGATTTGTGAAGACAAGCTTGATGCTCAAGATAAATACATCGAGAAGATGAACCAAGGGATGGTGGAGCTGAAAAAGAACGTGGAGCTGTTGGTACACAACGGGATGGAGGAGCACATCAGCAACTTCCTCAACTCCAGCACCTTCGAGAACATCCTCAAACACTACCAGCTGCCAACCGCAATTTTGGCCTTCACTGACTGTAGAAAGAAGGTGAAGGCCAAGTACCCGGGGGTGGACGTGACAACGGTCACCTTTGGGGAGCAAGAAGAAGGGGTGGAAGAGGATGGTGAGAGCCTCTGTGATGACTTCCGGCCTCTTATCAAACTGAGGTGGGAGCGCGACGCAGAGGGGCGCACTATCTTCCCTTTAGCCTTTGATGCGGAGCTGGTGGTAGTGGAGGAAGAAGGAGAAGAGGAAGAAGAAGTGCAAGGTGCTGGAGCTGAGGATCGGGCAGACCTGGCCGAAGTGCAGCCTCCCGAGGTGCATCCAGTCTCTTCTGATGAAGTGCAGCAACTGGCTCCTTCTGAGGCAGAAGTGCCGCCCCCGCCTGCTGGAGACGAGCCGCCTCAACCACCTCTTCTTACTGAGGAGCATCCTCCTCCTCCTCCAGCAGAGTAGCTTAGGTCTTTAAATCTTTTGAGTTATTTTTGTAAATAACATTTTTGTATTTGAGATTTTATTAATGTATAAAATTTTTGAATTTATTATTTTTTGGTGTTCAATTTTTGATTTGTGATTGATGTTTTTCTTTGAGGAATTCACTTTGGATAAAATAAGTTAACTTGAATTAACACAAGGTTCTGACCTCGGATAAAATAAACAGTAGGGTAGTTGACTTCGGATATCTATAAGGTATACCCCAAATATAGAGATGAGAAAAGACGAAGTAAAGCACTTCAAAAGTAAAGTGTAACTGACTAATAAGATTGTAACCCAAAAAATGAAGTGACTGAATAAGTTCAAATGAACTGACTTCAGAAATAAGTGAAATCCATTTCCACCGTATGGACGGGTACATAGAACTGAATCACTTCGAATGTGAAGTGAAACTCATTAATGAGATAAATGAATGGAGTTCGAATACATATTAGGTTGAGCGGAAGGAGTGAGAGTAATAACGATTAAGACAAAATTTACTTAAATGAAATACACTTAAGGGTAAAATTTCTTCAAGTTATTGACATTCCAGACTCTAGGAACCCTTTTGCCTTCAATGTCCCGTAGGATATAAGCACCTAGGTAGGGCACTTCGACTATAGTGTATGGACCTTCCCAGTTTGGTGCTAACTTTCCAAATCGAGTTTCGAACCCCGTTAGACCAGCTTTCCTGAGAATAAGGTCTCCTACTTTGAAAGTTCGGGGTCGAACTCGTTTGTTGTAGAAGTTTGCTACTTTCTGCTTGTAGACTAGAGTTCGAAGTTGTGCTTCTTCTCTGACTTCATCAAGCAGATCAAGGTTCTCCCGAAGCAGCTGTCCATTTCGTCCTTCATCGAAATGGGTGACCCTGAAGCTTGGGACTCCTATTTCGATAAGAATGACTGCTTCGGTACCAAAGGCCAGATGATAGGGTGTTTCACCTATTTCAATTAATTATAACTTTAGAATGCGCTTTACGCGTTATGTATATTTGCTCTAAGGTAAACCCGGAGAAAAACAATGTAAAGTAAACCAAATAGAACAGGTTTAAAGTAATACCTGTGGCGGTTCGGCTCATGGTTCTGTATGCCCAGAGGACGTTGTTGAGCTCGTCTGCCCAGTTGGCCTTGTGCTGTTCCAATCTCGGCTTTATACCTTTTAAGATGCATTTGTTAACAGAGTCGACCATGCCATTGGACTCTGGATGGTAAACCGAGGTGAACTGCAGTTTGATCCCATAGCTGGAACAGAAATCCCTGAATGAGGAGCAATTGAATTGAGTTCCGTTGTTAGCTACAATCTGACTCGGGATCCCATATCTGGAAATAATCGAGCTGAAAACAAAGTCTTCAACCTTCTTGGAGGTAAGACTGGACAGTGCCCGAGCTTCAACCCATTTTGTGAAATAATCCACACCAACGATGAGATGGGTTACACCTCCTACCCCCTTCATAAATGGACCTAAAAGGTCAAGACCCCACTAAGCAAATGGCCAAGGTGCTACCAGAGTAGTGAGCTCTTCTGCAGGCTGGTGGATTAGATGTGCGAAGAACTGACATTTTTGACACCTCTGTACGAACTGGATGGCATCCTTATACATGTTGGGCCAATAATAACCTTGTCTAAGGACTTTATGGGCCAAAGTTCGAGCACCTACGTAACTTTCACAAACACCTTCATGCACCTCCCGAAGTGCGTATTCAGCCTCGTAAGGGGTTAGGCAGCGGAGCAGAGGGAGTGAGAAAGATCTCTTGTAGAGGACATCATTACCAAGGGTGTACCAAGATGCCTTCTTCCTTAACCTCATCTCTTCCTGTTTATCCGCAGGCACTGTGCCATCTCGTAGAAACGAGATAATTGGATCTGTCCAGCTCGATGAGCTAGGATCGGTGCTGACCACCATCATTCGTGGCTTCAAGAAGCTAGGCTCGTCCAGAATTTCTACAAAGACCGATCTGGAGCTTTGGTTGCCATCAGAAGCAAACTTGGAGAGGGAGTCTGCTTGCTCATTTTCAACTCGAGGTATTTTGCTTAAATGGAATTTCTGGAATTTGGATTTCAATTCGGCCACCAGAGTTGCATACTTCATCATAACAGGATCGACCACTTCACAGACTAAGTTAACCTGATTGACTACTAGCTGTGAATCACTGTATATTTGTATCGCTTCAACCTTCAATTCTGTCACCAGCTGTAAGCCAAGGCTGCTTTCTCAACAATGGAATATCTGACTTCTGTTCCATGTAACACGCTACTGATGTAGTAAACTGGTTTTTGTTGCTTTCTCTCTTCCCTTACTAACACAGAACTGATAGCCTCATCTGATATGCCGAGGTACAACTAAAGGATTTCTCCATCATCAGCCTTTGTCAGCAAAGGAGGTGAGCTAAAATAAGACTTCAGCTCGTCAAATGCAGCTTGACATTCTGAATTCCATGCAAACTTAATCTCTCGTTTGGCATTGGGTAACAGTCTTTTGGACATGCGTCGTTGAGGTTAGTGTAATCGATGCACATTCGCCATTTACCGTTTGCTTTTTTCACCAGCACAGGATTGGCGACCCACTCACAGTAATCAACCCTTCTGACAAAACCAGCTCGTAGGAGTTTTTCAACTTCTTCTTTAATGACCTGTAACCTCTCCCCCCCAAAGAGGCGCCGCTTCTGGGCTACTGGTTTCTTGAGTGGATTGGTGCTGAGTTTATGTTGAGAAACCGAAGTGGGAATTCCCGGCATATTTGCTGAAGTCCATGCAAAAACATCTTTGTTGGCCCAAAGGAAAGCTATTAGCTCTGCTCTTTCCTCCGGGTTCAACTTAGTTCCAATTTGCATTTTTCGGCTCGGATCTCTGTCATCAATGTGCACCTCTTCAACATCCTCAACAGGGGCAGCTCTGGTTTCATCTTCCGGTCAGTTATCTATGATCTCAACACCCATGACTTGCTGATTGTCAGAAATATGTTGGGGAACGGTTTCAGGTATCTGATTTTTGCCCTTCTTAGGTTGTGTTACCGAGGTGATATAGCAATGTCTAGCCACCTCCTGGTTACCTCGCAGTGTTGCTATTCCCATGGGAGTTGGGAACTTCATGCAGAGGTGAGATTGGGAAACCACAGCTCGGATTTCAATCAGTGTGGGTCGGCCAATAACAACGTTGAAAGAGGACGCCATCTTGACTACTAGAAACCTAACTGAAGGGATCACATAACTTCGGCCACCTCCAAATGCAACATTCATGGTAAGGACTCCTTCAACTAGGACTGGTTGGTTGTTGAATCCATAGATGGGACCATCATACCGCTGCAACAAGGCTGGATCCAACCCAAGACTCTCAAAACAATGGAAGTACATGATGTCTGGTACACTCCTTGTGTCAATAAGGACACGCTGCTCCTCACAATTGTTAATCGTAATAGAAGTGACTAGAGGGTCATTGTGAGGTGTGACGACTGTATCGAGATCAACAGATGTGAAAGTAATGGGTTGATTCTTCCACTCAGCATCGTCAAACTTCCGCTTCTGAGCTCGGTTCTGATGCTTAACCTCTCTGACATACAACTTTCGCTGCTTAGAACTCAGCCCACCGGCTTCCAAGCCTCCTGTGATCATGTGGATAACTCTAGTTGGTGGTGGGAGTGGAGGTGGGGTTTGCTGATACCCCACACCTTGCCGGTTTGGTGGGTTACGGACTCCTTGAGGTTGTAGCCCTTATCCTCTGACAAACCTTGGCTGTTCAGCTCTCTGAATGTACTCATTCAACAATCCCTTCTAGGCAAGACTTTCCAGCTCGGACCTCAAGCTGTTGCATTGCTCTGTTGTATGACCGTGATCTTAATGAAAATCACAATATCTAGTATGATCTCGGCTAGCAGCAGCAGTTTTCATTGGGCCAGGACGTCTTAAATCCATCTTATTCTTGATCTGCATGAAAATTTGTGACCTTGGCAAATTAAAAGGAGTCCAATTAACTGGAGGTTTACCTTAAGACTGTTGTGGAGGTGCTGAGCTTGGCCTTCCGAATCTCGGGGTGGAGGTCGGCATCGGACCTTGGTTCTGTGTCGTCTTCATCCGTTTCCTGTTTGGATTCTCATCTCTCCAGTCCGGGTGTTGGTTCTTAATAGGAGTTGGGTTTTACGACAGGGCATATTCCTCAGCAATGATGAATTTCAGTGATCTATCATTTACCTCGCTAAAAGTGGTGGCAGGATGTTTAAGCAGACTATCTCTGAATCTCTCATGGCTAAGACCTGAGATCACAGCTGTAATTCCCACAGCCTGGTCGAAGGAGTTAACCTCCAGTACTGCATCATTGAATATGCTCATAAAATTCTTCAAAGACTCTCCGTCCCTCTGCCTAACTCGCATTAGCTCAGAGGTAGTTTTCCTTATCAACCTTCTACTGGAAAACTTTATGGCAAAAGCGGATGCCATTTCTGTATAAGAGCTGATTGACCTCGGAGGTAGACTGTAGTACCAGGTTCGAGCATTGCCTCGGAGAGTAGAAGGAAAGATTTTGCACATCAACGCATCAGAGGCGTTCTGGGCTTGCATGCAAGAGTAGAAAGCATGCAGATGATCATCGGGGTCTTTCGTCCCATCATAAGTCTCAAGCTGAGGTATTCTGAAGCCAGCAGGGTAGGGTTCTAATGTGATGTTGGTGTTTAGAGGGTGAGGTATGGAGTCCGCGGCATGACGTGGAGGTGGGGCACCCTTTTGCTCAACAACTAACTTTTCTAGGTTGTCTAGACGTCGAGTGACATCATCAGGAAGGGGTAGCTGAACTGGTGCGATGTGAGAATGGCCCTGAGATTCACTAATAGCAGGAGCATGCTGAACTGGCTCAGGATTTTGTTGTGGAGCTGGGGGTTGTGGAGCAGGATTAAGTAGGTTGATGAGTGGATCACCAGGATTGTTCCAGGCTAATAGCTGAGCCAGCACTAGCTGAAAGACACCAAACTGTTGTTGCATGGCAGCGAGCTGAGTTGCAACTACGTCTTGGTTAGCAGTAGAGGCTGAGTTGTGAGCCGAGTTGTGTGGCTGATTTTCATCTCCTCCTTCTACATGGTCAACATGAGGGAGTGTATTCGGGATTGGGGGCGGGGGATGAGGGGGAAAGTTGCTGGGGACCTGACCTCGTCCAAGAGGCTGAGATGAGTTTCCACCTCGGACTGACCTAGTTTTAACCATGATGAGAGCAACAAAGGAGCTTTCAGTGCGAATTCCCACAGACGGCGCCAAATGTAACTGCACCACACTAGATGTCCTTCTTCAGTCCGTATCTGCGTTCCGGATTGACCTGCAAAACCCCGAGATGGATCTTGGGGTAGACACTCCGATGCTTAAGTCAGCAGTAATCAGGGCTACCAATAGAGTGAAGATTAAAGGAGCTTAGGGTTGGTTTCAATTACCTTTCTAACGTGACCCTTGACGGGTATTTATATGTTCCAATGAAGAACCCGTGTGGCATGCCAAGCAAGATGCTCGGGATCTGATGTGTATCTCCAGGCAGTTATTTCGGGATCCGGAAATTAAGCCAAGCAAGATATTCGGGATCTGATGTGTATCTCCAGGCAGTTATTTCGGGATCGAGAAATTAAGCCAAGCAAGATATTCGGGATC